GAGCTCAAGCAATTCCCCTGCCTCAGCCTCCTGAGTAGCTAGGACTACAGACACACGCCACCACACCTAGCTAATTTTTTTATATTTTAGTAGAGACAGGGTTTCACCATATTGGCCAGAATGGTCTCGATCTCCTGACCTCGTGATCCACCCACCTCAGCCTCCCAAAGTGCTGGGATTACAGGCGTGAGCCACCGTGCCCGGTCTCTTTCTGCCTTTCTGATGCAGCAATAAATAAATGCAGCATGTATTATAGTGGTAAAATCTCATTCTGCCCTTCTCTCTCTTCAGATCTTCTGTAAGCCTCCTTGTCTTTATAATTACCTGCCTTCTAGCTCTCTGGACCTCAGCACAAGGGGTTAGAGACAAGTTTCAAAATTACAGGAAAGACTGTGTTTTTATCCCTCTTCCTCACTTCACATTGACCAACTGAGCACGAGGCATATTCCCAGGGTTTATTCCTCGGAAGCGGGACCCTGCAATCCTTGTGGGGCTGTGTCTGTGGCTGTTCCTCTCTGCCTTCCTCTCTGGGCTTCTCTTCTTCTATCAAAGGGACAGATGGTACACTCAGTGGGGGAGGAATGGAGCAGATGTGAGCTGCTATCTTAAGGTTTTCGGGGAGAAGCACAAGGTCTGTCCCCAGGGAAGGCGACATGTGCCCTGCTCCTGCATCCCAGCAGCCTCACTTTTAGCAGAGGGCAGTCTTGGTCGTCCTGCAGCCACCCTTCAAATGCCGTGCCGTGTGTGGAATTTTCCAGACTTGGGGAAAGATGATTCCCTTCTTGTTTCACACTTGTCTTGCCCATACTGACCTTTGTGAGAGTCTGTATTTGGGAGTAGGGCATGGGATCTTTGTAAAATCATGGAGAAATCTGTCCACTTTTTTGTTTTTGAGACAGTCTTGCTCTGGTCACTCAGTCAGCAGTGCAGTGGCTCACCTCCCTGCAGCCTCGACCTCCCAGGCTCAAGAGATCCTTTCACCTTAGCCTTCCAAGTAGCTGGGACCACAGGCATGCACCACCGCTCCTCGCTAATTTTAGCATATTTTGTAGAAATGGGGTCTCAGTGTGTTGCCCAGGTTGGTCTTGAACTCCCGGGCTCAAGCGCCTGCCTCAGCCTCCCAAAGTGCTGGGATTGTAGGCCTGAGCCACTGCAGCCTTCTGTCCGCTCTGATACTTAGTCTTTTTAAGCAATTCCAAAGCGATCCCAGGACTATTTAAATCTTTGGGGTAGAGTGCATTTTCTTTTTGGTTTAAAATGAGTTGTCTTTAACTCAGCTTCAACACTGGGAAGATTTCACTTCCTAATCTTCATCCATAGTCCCCTCTCCTCCCTCCAGCCATCTTCTTTCTCCATTAATATCCTTCCCTGCATACTTGGGGACACCTACGCACAAATCCCAGTGTCATGTTATAACCATAAACTTTGACATTTCACATCATAAACTCTGTAGCTAACTGATCTGCATGAACGCGGTTTTCTATTCCCTTCCCCTCCCACCAGGTGGGGGCTGAAACTCCCCGCACTGAGGATTAAATCTGTGACTTTGCTTTTTCTTCTCTGCCAAACACCAGTGCTTGCTATCGAGCCTCCTATTCTCCTCGTGTTCCTGGTTCTTTGCAGATTAGAGTTTCCTTCCTCCGTAATAGAAGTTTTGGAGACAGGAAAAATAGCAGCTTCCTGTTCTGTCTGTTTATTATGTTTAATTAACGCCTCTATGGCGATCTCTATTTTTATTGGCCAGGGTTCACATTCATATTTGAAACTTAGTTTTTAGTGAAGGTTGGAGTCTAGAATATTTACCATCTTAGGTCTGGCTTTTGTGATTTACCCCCACAAAATAAAGACTCATTTCTGTGACCCAGGAGCAGCTCACAAGTGGCAGTGTATTGTGAAGTCAGGTGCAGAGAAGACACTGAGGTTCCCATGATGGGAGTGAAGGGGCAGATGGGTCACTGACGGTGTCTGCGACAGATAAGTATGTATGAGAAGCAGAAAGAGAAAGTGATGCTAAGCAGGTTAAATTTTACACCACGTAAAAAATTTTGACTCTAGGCTGGGCATAGTGGTTCATACCTGTAATTCTAGCACTTTGGGAGGCCAAGGCCAGAGGATTACTTGAGCCCAGGAGTTCGAGACCAGCCTGGGCAACATGGTGAAAGCCTGTCTCTATTTTTTAACAAATATAAAAATTAGGTGGACGTGGTGGTGCATGCCTGTAGTCCCAGCTACTCAGGAGGCCGAGGCAGGAGGATCACTTGACAGTGAGCAGTGATCGTGCCACTGCACCCCAGCCTGGGTGACAGAGTGAGACCCTGACTCAAAAAAGAAAAAATGTGGAGTCTAATACACAAGAATCCTTATGCTTTTGAGGACTTTCTTCACCTGGTGGGAAGTAAGAGTGAAAGAAGTGAGTGGCTACCACATTCAGCGTTGCTGGTATTCCTGCTGTGTGTCTTTCACGAGCTTATTTACATGGGAGATAGCCTCAAAGTGCCTCACAGAAAAAGTCTAGTCTTCTGGAAAGTTCTTTACTGTGCAATCTTGGCTAAGTATAGCCTCAGCTTCCTGGACTCAAGGGATCCTCCCACCTCAGCCTCCTGAGTAGCTGAGTTCAGAGGCATGTGCCATCATGCCCAGCTAATTTTTTATTTTTTGTAGAGATGAGGTCTCAGTATGTTGCCCAGACTGGTCTCAAACCGCTGGGTTCAAGCGATCCTCCTGTTTCTGCCTCCCAAAGTCCTGGGAGTACAGGCATGAGCCACGACGCCTGGCTGTTCTGTTATCTAACTCGATGTCTGTCTGCACCTTCACTTTTATGCATAAAAGGAGCTGCTTCTTGCCTGTGGCAATGACACCCACAGTCCACGGGCAACGGGAAGTTCAGCAGATGCCACCTCACCCTGCAAGCATCACCAAGAACTAGCAAGCTGTGGGCGCCCCAACCTCTGTTCTCCCAACCTCATAGCCACATGCTTTCTATTTTAAGTAGGGAAAGCCCAATTCCAAATCACTTAAGGGGAAAAAAAGGAATTTATTGGCTCGACATGAAAATCCAAAGGAAAACTAGCTTCAGATCCCAGCAGGATTCAGGGGCTCCTCTCCCTTTCTGCATCTCCTCCTTCTGCTTTCCTCTATTTGCAGTCCATGGTTTATATTCTTACCTCATGGTGGCAAGAGGGCTGCCAGGACCTGGCCAGCTTTTATCCCCTCCTCTCATTAATTCCATTTGGAAAAGTCTGCTTCTCTCTTAAGGGTTTCCAACAACAACAACAAAAAAAATAGATTCTGGAATTGAGTGTGACTTGGACTCAATCTTACTCCCACGCCTGAAATGTGCCTGGAGACAGAGGGGTGCATGCTAATTGGCCAGACCTGGATCCCGTGCGCACCCTTAGCACCAGCCCTAAGCCACCTGGTTGGGAGGAAAGCGAAGGTGTATCCTTTAGGGAAATAAGGGTTCCATTACCAAATAAAACAGAATAGGATGCTGTGTAAGTAGAACAGCTCCCAAGCCACAGCTGTAGAGCCCCATGGAGTAGAAGTTGACCAGTTTGTTCTGACATATGCAGATTTGTTCCAAAACTTCCAAGACAGATTTGAAATTCAATTCACCCAGTTAAAGTCTCTCCCATCCTCCCTCCTGGGTGGCTGGGCCCATTTCTGCCTGTTTGTGACTCATGTGTAACTTCTCCTCTCCAAGTACTATTTCCATCTCTCCCAGATTTTGAAATACTTTATACTTATGCACACTTTAGGGGAAAAAAAAAGCTAGACCGTAAATTTATTTGTGGCATGGATATGAATGTTTGTGGGGGGCAAAGGTTAATAGCAGTAATTTGGAAGTCCATAGTTAAGACACACTGTAGCAATCACATTCAAGATTCTGCCATTCCCAAGTACCTGCTCTAGAACTCAGGTACATGCTTAGCCAAGGCTTCACATAAAGTTTCAAGGACAACAAGAAAATTAAATGCTTTATTTTTCCCCCTGTATTCCAACTTTAATTTATAACACATTTTGGGTAATGATATTTATAAAAGAACCAATTCAAGATTACGTTTCACTTTCTGTGGCCTCGTTAAGAGGACAATCATTCTCACATTTTGACAACTTAAGCTTTTTAGGAAAACGTGAATTTGTAAATCAATTAACAGTAAAGACTCTAGGTTGTGGTCCTAATGCCTTTGTCCCTCCTGACTTTCCTGCTGGCCCTCAGCCTGTACTTTAAAGCCTGGCTACTCTTTCAGCCTTGGTCTTACTTGGGGGCTCCAATTCCATAGGCCGAGGAGAGGTGCTCAGAGATTACTGACTTCCACCTTCCTGCAGTCAAGGAGGCATCAATTTCATTCATTCCTGGCACCTAGGAGTTTCAGGAATAACACCTTAGAAATCATACTTTTTTTTTTTTAAACAGAGTCTCGCTCTGTCACCCAGGCTGGAGTGCAGTGGCTCAATCTTGGCTCACCACAACCTCCGCCTATTGGGTTCAAGCAATTCTCCTGCCTCAGACTCCACCGGTTAATTATTTTGTATTTTTAGGAGAGACAGGGTTTCACCATGTTGTCCAGGCTGGTCTCGAATTCCTGACCTCAAGTGATATGCCCGCCTCAGCCTCCCAGAATACTGGGATTACAGGCATGAGCCACCACACCCTGCCAGGAACCATGTATGTTTATGCTCCTGTTGGACGTTTTCCCATCGAGTTCCTGGGAGTCAGCTGTTGGTTGGTGCAAATTGAGAATGGGGTCTAAGTCAGATAGACTAGTCCCCTTCTTGTTCAGGGACCTCTGCCTTCGGACTACATTCCCCTAAGTCGTTCTCTCCTATCATCTTTGCCAGGACAAACCATTCTCTTCAGGGAAATATACCCTGGACCACTTCCCATAGATCTGCCAACACCCTCACCCCAAGGAAGGTCAGACTCTTGGGAGGAGGGGCTAGACAGATGGAGTGAAGGAGGCATCGCCTAATTCTTACAGAGTGATGAATCAAAAATATTTATTTGAAAGAAAATACTTTTTTATTTATTTTATTTATTTATTTTTTAGAGACGGGGTTTCTCCATGTTGGTGAGGCTGGTCTTGAACTCCTGACCTCAGGTGTTCCGCCCATCTCTGTCTCCCAAAGTTCTGGGATTGCAAGTGTGAGTCACCGCACCTAGCCAGGAAAATACTTTCAATTGGACAAGGTGTTGCTGTTATATAATACTTTTCTTCAGATAGAGTTGAAAGACTTATTCCTGAATAAGATCATACATGCACCAATATCTGGTTTTCCACATGACAATTTACATTTGGTCTGAATTGTTTCTTATTAATGAAATCTATTTATACCAGCCAATAGGTATGTCAGTGGCATTATTGAAAGTCAACTTTGGGCCAGACATGGTGGCTCACTCCTGTAATCTCAGCACTTTGGGAGGCTGAGGCAGGCCAATCACTTGAGTTCAGGAGTTCGACACCAGCCTGGTCAACAGGGTGAAACCCCATCTCCATTAAAAATACAAAAAAAATTAGCCAGGCCCCTGTAGCAGGCACCTATAATCTCGGCTACTCGAGAGGCTGAGGCAGGAGAATCACTGGAACCCAGGAGGCGGAGGTTGCTGTGAGCCAAGATGACACCACTGTACTCAAGCCTGGGAGGCAGAGCAAGATCCCGTCTGAAAAAAAGAAAAAAGAAAGTTGTCAACTTTGGACAGGGCATTGTTGAGATCTTGAGGAAGCCACAGAGAGGGAGAGAAAGATGGTCCCTTCATGAGATTGGCAGTAGGAAAGAAAGAACCTTGATACGTAAAAGATACCAAAGTCACATTTTCAGATACATTGTTTTATTTTTATTATAATTTAAAGTTGGAGTTTCACTCTGTGGCCCAGTCTGGAGTGCAGTGGTACGATCATAGCTTACTGTAGCCTCAAACTCCTGGGCTCAACTGATCCTCCTGCCTCAGCCTCCTGGGTAGCTGGGAACACAGGTACACGCCACCACATCTGGCTAATTTTGTAAATTTTTCATAGAGACACGTTTTGCTATGTTGCCTAGGCTGGTCTCAAGCTCCTGACCTCAAGGGACTCTCCTGCCTTGGCCTCCCAAGATGCTGGGATTACAGGAATGAGCACGTGGTTATTTTCAGTTTATTGTAAATGAATGAGGGATGCCGCTTTTTAAGAAGATTTTAGAAAGTTACTGCATCCACAAACCTTTACACTAGATACTGATGTCAGAACCCAAGAATACTGTACTCTCAGAGGTCACAGGTTTATGCAGACACTCCCAGATCGGAGGGCCAGATGTTACGGTTTTTGAGCGTTAGAGACAGACTGCCTGCATTTTAGGCAGTGTAGACCCCACCTCAGTTTAGAATCTGGCTAGATATCTTTTTCTTTTCTTTTTTTGCAGACAGAGTCTTACTCTGTCACCAGGGAGGAGTGCAGTGGCACGATCTTGGCTCACTGCAACCTCCGACTCCCTGGTTCAAGCGATTCTCCTGCCTCAGCCTCCTGAGTAGCTGGGATTACAGGCACATGCCACCACACCCAGCTAATTTTTGTATTATTAATAGAGATGGGGTTTCACTATGTTGGCCAGCATGGTCTTGATCTCCTGACTTCGTGATCTTCCTGCCTCCGCCTCCCAAAGTGCTGGGATTGCGGGCATGAGCCACTGCGCCCAGCCTGGCTAACTATCTTTTCTGTACATGATCTAACCTATATGTATAAAGCAGTTATTTCCAACAAGTGACAACCTGTAATGATACTAACTGTACAAAGTAGTTAATGCATGGAATGAGCCTTATCTGCCATAGATCACAGAGCGTTATGGAGGTCACAGCACAGGTGTGACTTCAAGGACAAGAAGGCACAGGCAAGGCAGACCAGGAAGAAGGGGGGCATCGGCAAAGGTCCTGAAGTGGGAAAACTCAAGGTCAATTCAGGGTTCAAAATGTACTGCCTGCTTATCTGAAGTGGTGTCTCTGGGATGAGCTCAGACTAAAGAGGGTCTTGGGTTACCTTTTTAAACTTTGGGCCCATATCGTTATTCACAAGAAATACTTGCTGATTTGTTAATTAACCCAGTGTAGCAGAGGTATTTTTTAATTTTTTTAGAAGAGTCTCATTTTCTCACCCAGGCTGGAGTGCAGTGGCACCATCTCTGCTCAGTGAAACCTCAATCTCCCAGGCTCAAGTGATCCTTCCGCCTCAGCCTCCTGAGTAGCTGGGACCACAGACATGCACCCCCATGCCCAGGTAATTTTTGTATCTCTTGTAGAGATGGGGTCTGTCTATGTTGCCAGGCTGGTCTTGAGCTCAGAGGCATGTGTAGACTAACTGAAAGGAGACAGTCCTTCAAGGTTGGGCATGATTTTCCACTTTGGCTGAATCTCTTGAGCATCTACTCTATGCCAAACCTTTTTTTCTAGGGACTGGAAATATGGCCGAGAGAGAGACAAAAGCCCTGCCCTCATGGAGCTGATACTTTAGTACAAGTCCAGGTAGCAGACTGCAAGAAGCTGAATAAACAAGCGAATAATGAAGAGCAGCTTAGACAGTGAGATTGTTAGGAAGACCATGGAATGATGTCATATAACTGGGAGGAGGAGGGTTACTTTAGATGGGATGGCCAGGAGGATTTTCTTTATTTTCTTTCTTTTTTTGTGTGTATGACAGGGTCACCCTCTGTCACCCATGCTGGAGTGCAGTGGCGAAATCAAAACTTACTGCAGCCTTAAACTCTTGGGCTCAAGGGATCCTCCCACCTAACCTCCCGAAGAACTGGGACCACAGGTGCAAGCTACCATGCCTAGCTATCTAAAACAACTTTTTTTTTTTAATCCCAGCACTTTGAGAGACGAAGGCAGGCAGATCACGAGGTCAGGAGTTCAAGACCAGCCTGACCAACATGATGAAACCTCATCTCCACTAAAAATACAGAAATTAGCCAGGTGTGGTGGTGCATGCTTATAATCCCAGCTGCTCAGGAGGCTGAGGCAGGAGAATTACTTGAACTCAGGAGGCAGAGGTTGCAGTGAGCCCAGATTATGCCACTGCACTCCAGCCTGGGTGATAGAGCGAGACTCCATCTCAAAAAAAAAAAAAAAGAGAAAAACAAACAATTTTTTTATTTTTCTGGTAGAGAGGAGGTCTCCCATTGTTTCCCAGGCTGTTCTCGAACTCCTGGGCTCAAGTGATCCTCCTAACCCCGCTTCCCAAATTTTACAAAAGTGACATGATGAAACTAAAGCTCTGAAGGAACACCGAACTCATAAATACCCCTACCCCTACACACAAGGGCCCAAGAGGACTTTGAGTGCCAGACCACGCCCTTATTATTGGGTCTGAGATACCTCGTCTAGGGCACATGCTAAAAGAGTATGTTCCTCCCTTCTGCAAAGGTAGCCTGTATCATCTAGACTAGCTGAGTGATCTTTAGCTGCTCCATCATCCTGCTCTAATTTTCTACTTTCTTATCTGAGAAATGGTGGGGATGGACCAGTTCTTTCAAATTCTTTTGAGTTCTAGTATTCTGGGATTCCATGATTCCTGTCATTGTTTTTCATGTTCAGAAATGCAGGAAAGGCTGGGCACGGTGGCTCACGCCTATAATCCCAGCATTTTGGGATGCCAAGATAGGAGGATTATCTGAGGTCAGGAGTTCAAGACCATCCTGGCCAACATGGTGAAACCCCACCTCTACTAAAAATACAAAAATTAGCTGGGTGTGGTGGTGTATGCCTGTAATCCTGGCTACTTGGGAGGCTGAGGCAGGAGAATCACTTGAACCCAGGAGGCAGTGGTTTCAGTGAGTCGAAATTATGTCATTGCACTCCAGCCTGGGAGACAAGAGTAAGACTCTATCGCAAAAAAAAAAAAAAAAAAAAGAAAAGAAAAAAGGAAAGGGGAGGGAGAGGGAGGGGGAGAGGGACTTCAGAGCCATCATAAAGGGTCACTGGGTGTTTGTCGTTGTCCTGGTACCCAGAACTGGGGTGACAGACAAGATACAACATGCAGGCACTAGCCTCTGAGGCTCTGGGGAGGTCTGGGCTGGCATTCAGAATCGGTGCCTGCTTCTTCCCCGTGCCATTTTATGCTCCAGACGCTGGATTTCCCCCCCTTTTTAATGACTTTTCCAGGCTTCCTTGCAGCTGGGCTTCTGGATGGGAGTCGCGTTCTGCTGAGTGGATGCTCTCAGTAGAGTTCTGGAAAGCAAACCAGAGGCAAGGCTGTCTCCCTGCTGCAGGATGTGCTGGGCCACAGGGTTCGCTTCCCTGTGTCTAGTCGCCGGCAGGGAGGGTGGCAGGAGCCTGGCTTTCTGATCCCTGCCCTCAGCAAGGATGCAGGTTCCTAAATGAAACCTCTGCAGGCCGGGCGCCATGGCTCACGCCAGTAATCCCAGCCCTTTGGGAGGCCAGGGCGGATTGCTTGAGGCCAGGAGTTCGAGACCAGCTTGGGGAATATGGTGAAACCCCACTTCTACTAGAAATGTCAAAAAATTAGCCAGGCGTGGTGGCGTATGCCTGTAGTCCCAGCTACTCAGGAAGCTGAAGCAGGAGAATCGCTTGAATCGGGAGGCAGAGGCTGCAGTCAGCCAAGATTACACCACTGCACTCCCATCTGGGCGACAGAGCGAGACTTGGTCTCAAAAAAGGAAAGGAAGGGGAGGGGAGGGGACATCTGAAGCACAGCCCAGTTGTCCAACCTTTCTGACTGGGGCACGGAAGCAGCACCCCAGGAGCCCAGGAGAGGGGGCTGTTCTGGAAGGTTTCCCTAGACCCCCTCCTCCGTTCCCTTCACAGATTTTGTAAGTACCTAATTCCCTGTAGAATGTGTAAGAAGTTAGAGAGGTTTCTCTTTCCTCCACTCGAGACCTTACTGATGGAGGTGTTAACCTATGTTCAGAAAAAGCAAAAACTCTTTCAGACTGTCATGATTAAGTTTCAAATGCACTAGCCAGGTATGGTGGCTCACGTCTGTCAACCCAGAACTTTGGAAGGCTGAGGCAGGAGGATCGATTGAGCCCAAGAGTTTGAGACCAGCCCAGGCAATGTAGTAAGACCCAACTCTACAAAGAAACATAAATAAAAAATATTAGCCAGGCATGGTGGAGTAGTCCCAGCAACTGCAGAGGCTAAGGTGGGAGGATTCTTGGAGCCCAGGGGTTCAAGGCTGTGGTGAGCTGTGATTGCACCACTGCACCCCAACCTGGGCAACATAGTAAGACCCCATCTCAAAAAAAAAAAAAAGGTACTACTTACATCTTTGGTTCCAAATCAATAGAAGATCCACAGTTTCCAGGAACTGCAGCTCCCCACATGAAGGACCTCTGCTTATCCCAAGACTATAAAAAGGCTTCAGGTATATTTAGATTGGAACTATTTGCCCTATATTCAAACACATTACTGGGCAGAGGGGTTAACAACCAGCATTTATAAAATTAAATGAGAAATGCCACTGACTTACAAACATTCAAGACAGAAAATCCATTTGTAAAACCAAGGACTCAAATTCATACATAAAACCAGAACTTTTGTCAGGTACGGTGGCTCATGCCTGTAATCCCAGCACTTTGGGAGGCTGAGGTGGGTGGATCATGAGGTCAGGAGTTTGAGACCAGCCTAGCCAATATGGTGAAACCCTGTTTCTACTAAAAAATATAAAAATTATCCAGGAGTGGTAGCATGTGCCTGTAGTCCTAGCTACTCGGGAGACTGAGGGAGGAGAATCACTTGAACCTGGGAGGCAGAAGTTGCTGTGAGCCGAGATGGTGCCACTGCATTCCACCCTGGGGGACAGAGCAAGACTCTGTCTAAAGAAAAACCACAAACACACACAGACCTTTCAAGGATTATGAGGGACTGATTCCCTCCTCTTTCTTTTTTGAGGAATACTATTGGTTTTCACCTCGTGCTTCCCAAAAAGGAAAGTAGGACGTCTGGGCCAATGTTATTACTTTTTTTGTTTTGTCTCCTTTTTGGCTTAGTTTCTAAAGGTTTTATTAATAGAAGAATACAATCATAAAATAGTAACTAAAATTTTTATGAAACTTTAAAATATGTACCAATGAAGTTCCTCTTATCCACTAAAGTCTTAGACTAAAGAAAAAATAGTAGGCCAGGTCTGGTAGTTTACACCTCTAATCCCAGCGTTTTGGGAGGCCAAGAAAGGAGGATTGCTTGTGGCCAAGAGTTCAAGACCGGCCTGGGCATAATAGCAAGACTCCCATTCTATAAAAAATTTTTTTAAAAAAATTAGCCAGGCATGGTGGCACACACCTATAGTCCCAGTTACCTGGGAGGCTGAAGTGGGTGGATCACTTGAGCCCAGGAGTTTCAGGTTATAGTGAGCTATGATTATGCCACTGCACTCCAGTCTGGGTGACAGGGCGAGACCCTGTCTCAAAAAGGGGGAGGCGGGGCTGGGCAAAGCTAGGAGAAAATGACACCAGTAGCCAAAGCATTCCTGGTTAAGACTCATTCTATACATAAACGGCTCTCCTAGGCCCATGTGTATGCAAAGTAAATGTGTCTAAACCTATTGTATAATTTGCCCAGAAAAATCACCTCTTCACCCACATTTCCATTTTTATGGGTACTCTAATGGAGGATTCTCTTTGTTTAGTAATTAAACAGGATAGGGTATTAAGAGAAAGGTTCTGACAGTAGGCAGCTTAGAGTCAAAAGCGTTAAAATTAAACAGGGAAGAAATGAAGAGAAGGGAAAAGAAAAGAGTAAGAAAGTATCATTCAAAGATTGAACTTGAAAACTGATGGAAGATACATGGAATTTCTGAAACTTTCCCCCTGGTTCAGATACAGAGTCAGCCACACAACGGAAGTTCAATTGATGCTAATTACATTCTCCTTTTCTCCATTATCTTCCTCTCTTTTCCCGGATTCTTCTAAGTTTTCTATGAAAAAAAAAACAACCCAACTTTCTATTCTCTGCCTTTCTTCATGTCCCTTCGGTTTTTATGAAGACAGACATAGTAGTCACAGATACACATCTTCCACCAAGAACATGAAAGCCCACTGCCTTGCCTGCACTTTTTGTCTATATGACAGTAAATTCAGTGGGTTAACTGGCTGGGCATGGTGGCTCACACCTGTAATCTCAGCACTTTGGAAGTGTGGATCACTTGAGGTCGGGAGTTTGAAGTCAGCCTGGCCAACATGGTAAAACCCTGTCTCTACTGAAAACACAAAAAATTAGGCAGGCATGGTGGCACGTGCCTGTAATCCCAGTTACTCAGGAGACTGAGGCAGGAGAATTGCTTAAGCCCAGGAGACAGAGGTGCAGTGAGCCGAGATTGTGCCACTGCACTCCAGCCTGGGCGACAGAACAAGGCGCCATCTCAAAATAAATAAATAAATAAAATAAAATTTAAAAATTCAATGGGTCAGCAAAGAATAGAGCTGGCAACTTCTTGCTCTAATGGAACAGGCTGGCCAAAAGAGCATATTGGCTTGAAATGAAGTGCTGAGCAGCTCAATTCTCCATTAGCCACTAGCCTCCGAATGCTCTTTCCAAAAGCCAAACTTATTGATCGAGTGCCTGGGATGTGTCCCAGACTCTTTGAGTTATTAGGGGGCACAAAAATTTGAACGTTAAGACAAGGGATCTGAAATCACAGGACCAAATGACGTAATTGGAAATTCCATCCTGCAGGCTGATGTACACTGCCAGCATCTCCCACGTGACTCAGAATTGTTTCCTGAATAAGATGCCTCTCCTGGACTGGGTGCGGTGGCTCACGCCTGTAATCCCAGCACTTTGGGAGGCCAAGGAGGGCAGATCACTTGAGGTCAGGATTTCAAGACCAGCCTGGCCAATGGTGAAACCCCATCTCGACTAAAAATACAAAAAAAGTAGCAGGGCATGGTGGCACACGCCTGTAGTCCCACCTACTCAGGAGGCTGAGCCAGGAGAATCTCTTGAACCTGGGAGGCGGAGGTTGCAGTGAGCCATGATCACACCACTGCACTCCAGCCTGGGTGACAGATGACAGAGTGAGACTCTGTCTCAAAAAAAAAAAAAAAGAAAAAGAAAAAGAAAGAAAGGCGTCTCCTGGCTGAAAACCCATATAAGAGAAGGGAGGTTATAGGAAAAATTGAAGGATGCTTTTGAAAGAGCTTGTTGGAAAGTCACAGAGATTGAAATATGAGAGCGGAATCACACAGATGAGGAAGAGGAGGGCTGGGGTCACTCAGACACATCAGACCGTTGACAGTAATTTTCTTACCTTATTTTTTGGTTTGTTTTTTCTTTTTTATATGGATGCAAATGGCTTCAAAAAAATGCTGGGCCGTCACAATTTCCATCTGTGGCTACATTCTGTCTAAGTTTAATAAAAAAGCTCCAGCAAACAGAAGTGGCAATGGCCGTGACACCCTTCCTGACCCGTACAATCCTCATAAAATTCTGTTGTTTACTGGAAGCTTCTCACTCAGGGGAAGTGGGGGAGGGGCTGGGAGGAGAAAGGGGAGAAGGAAGAACAATACCTCTCCAAGCAAACCCAGACAATTAAAATTCCCCCACAGGGCTGGGCACGGTGGCTCATGCCTGTAATCCCAGCACTTTGGGAGGCTGAGGCAGGCAGATCGAGACCAGCCTGACTAACATGGAGAAACCCAGTCTATACTAAGAATAAAAAATTAGCTGGGCATGGTGGCACATGCCTGTAATTGCAGCTACTTGGGAGGCTGAGGCAGGAAAATTGCTTGAACCTTGGAGGCAGAGGTTGTGGTGACCTGAGATCACGCCGTTGCACTCCAGCCTGGGCAACAATCCACCACAGGAGACCAACTTCAGGGAAGAGTTCGATAGAATAAATAATCCTGAGCTAAGAAACCTTGACACAGAGCCTCTGAAATCAAGGTCTCCGGAAAATTCAGACTGGAAAACTTTAGTATATGGCATGACTTTTTTTTTTTTTTTGGCACAGGCCTGGAAAATTGAAATCAAATGCTGCACAGTCAAGCAACTTCTAAGCAATTTCAAATAAGTACAGTCATAATTCATCTCTAGTCAAACAATGAGCAACAGGAAAAGTTCTAGCGGGAAAGAACACTTCTAACTCCCATTGTTCTGCAAATCCTCCCCCGCAAGCAATTTTTTCCCTTAGTTACTGAGTGGGTGTGTGACCATCATGGCTGGAACAGAGAAAAGGTAAACCATGTTTTTTATTCCAGTAAAGGATAAGTGTGATTCTTACATAATTCTGGCTTCATAATATGCAAGTGTGTTTGTTGGAGTGATGTGGCAGAATCTGTGTTTCTTACAGCCTCCCACCCAGGTAATTGGAAAATACCCATGTGATGAGAGAATATTCCATGCAGCCCCAGTCCTGTTTTTGGCTTTGAGACTGGCCTGCGGTATCTACTGTGCAAATTGCTTAATGTCTTTCTGTTTCATAAGGGCATCTGCACAATGGCACGGGAGCGGTGCTTCTGAAACTATTTAGCGGCTGGGCGCAGTGGCTCACACCTGTAATCTCTGCACTTTGGGAAGCCGAGGTGGGTGGATCACCTGTGGTCAGGAGTTCGAGACCAGCCTGACCAACATGGAGAAACCCCGTTTCTACTAAAAATACAAAATTAGCTGGGCATGGTGGCACATGCCTGTAATCCCAGCTACTCTGGAGGTTGAGGCAGGAGAATCACTTGAACCCCGGAGGCAGAAGTTGCATTGAGCTGAGATCACGCCATTGCCCTCCAGCCTGGGCAACAAGAGTGAAACTCCATCTAAAAAAAAAAGAAAAAGAAAGAAAGAGAGAGAGAAACAAAGAGAAAGAAAAGAAAGAAAGCAAGAAAAAGAGGGAAAGAAGAAGCTATTTAGAGAAGTTTCATGTTGCTGTGAGGGTACATACACTGCTCCTAAAGTTCTGGTTCGTCCTAGGAAGTATTGTTACACACAGGATATCAACAACCACTGCCTTCAGACCTGAGCTCTCACAGGGGAGTCCAAGGGAGAGAATACAGTCATGGGTTCTTCGTTTCTATTTTTGGTTGGGCCAGTAAAGCCCCTAGAGATGGAAACTAAAAATGAAAATGATGGCTTTAGGCAGCTAAAAGTCTAAAACAAAACAGAACAATAATGACAACAAAAGAAGGCAGGTTGGACAAGCTTGATACAGTTAACACTGTGACCCTAACTTGATTCAGTGTATTAAGATTTCTTCCACCCTGAAATGTTCTGGAACTTTCTACTAGGATCACAAACACCAGTGTTGAGTGAACAATGAAACTTAGAAAAATGGGCTGGGTGCCGTGGCTCACACCTGTAATCCCAGCACTTTGGGAGGTTGAAGGTGGCAGATCACAAGATCACGAGTTTGAGACCAGCCTGGCCAACATTGTGAAACCCTGTCTCTACTAAAAATGCAGAAATTAGCTGGGCATGGTGGTATGCACCTGTAGTCCCAGCTACTCAGGAGGCTGAGGCAGGAGAATTGCTTGAACCTGGGAGGCGGAGGTTTTAGTGAGTGGAGATTATACCGCTGCACTCCAGCTTGGGCAACAGAGTGAGCCTTCATCAAAAAAAAAAAAAAAAGAAAAAAGAAGAAGAAAAGAAAAATGGTGTCGAATGGGATTTTTTTCTATTTTAAATATTTCTATTTAAACATTTTAAATATTATTTAAATAGAATATTTTAAAATATTCTATTTTAAATATTTCTATTTAAAATTATTACAGACTCATAAGAAATTACAAAAATAGTACAGAGCAGTCACATCTCCCCTGCCTCCAGCTTCCCCCAATTGTAACATCTTATATAATAACTACAGTACACTGTCAAAGCCAGGAAATGAACATTGGCGCCATACTCTTCACTAAATTCGGACCTCGCTGGGACTAGAACAAGTTGTACAGTTGGCACTCTCCTAGAGGTAATTTGAGTTGTTTGCATGAAATTTATTCTCAGAAGTAACACAGTAGAGGGAATTTGCTGTTACCAGATCTTTGTATTTTGGGTAAGTTGTTTAATGGCACCAAGCCTTGATTTGCTCATCTGTGAAATGGAAATAATAATACCTACCAAGTAAGCTGTTATGAGGAAGTACCTCCAGTTCAGTCAGTGCCATATACTGGGAACCCCTAAATACTAGCTTTCTTCTTCCCTTGTAAGACCACACTTTATTATTATTATTATTATTTGGTATTTTAAAGAGGTTTATTCTAAGTAGCCAATAGGAGTGACCATAATCCTGGGAAACGGTCTCAAGGGGTCCTGAGAAAGTGCACCCAAGGCAGTTAAAAATTACAGTCTGGTTTTATACATTTTAGAAAAGCAAAAGTTACAGGCAAATATATAAATCAGTAGTGCATGGAAGGTATACAACAGTTAGTCCAAAAAGGAGAGAGATCCTGAAGCCGGCATCCACAGAAGACCACACTATATCTCAGAGTTTTATAGGAGATGTAGGTGCTCTCCTAATAATTAACCTGTTTCTTGTCTTTTTCTTCCTTTTTCCTTTCCTTTCCTTTTTTTTTAACAAGGTCTTGCACTGTCACCCAGGTGGAAGTGCAGTGGCTATTCACAGGCACAATCACAGCTCACAGCAACCTCAACCTCCTGGGCTCAAGCAGTCCTGTTGCCTCAGCCTCCTGAGAAGCTGGCACTACGAACACATGCCCTTGCACCCAGCTAATTTATTATTATTATTTTTTTCTTTTTCGGAGCAAGGGTTTCACTTTGTTGCTCAGGCTGTCTCAAGCTCCCGGGCTCAGTGATCCTCCTGCCTCAGCCTCCCAAAGTGCTGGGATGAAAGTGAATTTGCCGTCCCCCAAAGCACAAAGTGGCCACGCCCAGCCTCAACCTGGTTCTTGATTATGACTGTTAGGGTTGTTATTTTGCTCAGACTGGTCTTGCCTCTTAGAACTAACCAACGTTTGTGTCAAAATCACTTCCTATGGATGTGAAATCAGAAGTGTCAACTCTGTTTGACCTTCATACCACTTCTCTTAGAAGCAGCCCTCTACCCGCCCCCGCCAAGAAAATGGCTTGAAAACTTCAAGACCACTACACTCCATGAGGCCATCCTTGACCCAGCCATCTTGCTGGCGTAGACTCTCTGTGTCCCTGCAGGCTGGCATCCAAGCTGGACTTGTGGGCTGAGCTAGACTGTCATCCCATTTGTTTCTTTCCTCCGACTCCCAGGTGGCCCCTGGAACCATGGCAAGGCTTTGATGTGGGAGTCAGAAGAAGGAGGGAGTCCGGCAGTCCCTAATGGTGGGGTTCTCTCTGCCTTCCTACCTGCCTCCCTGCACAGGTGTACGGTTTGCACACATCACAGCATTGGTCCTGAGGCTGACTGTACAGCGCATTTGGGCTTCTGCACGTCCTAGTTTTTCTCCTTTCTCACAGTCATTTGTCTTTTATAAGCCAACTGGGCAACTGCCATCCTTCATTGTTTTTTGGTATGGTGCCTGCCATGTCTTAATGCTCAATTAATAAAATTACAGTAATAACCCTCCTTCTGGCCTGGTGTTCCAGAAGCAGTGCTGGGTGGATGATGGGTCTGAGGTGGATTTTCCTGGGTCCCCAGTGGAAGTCAGAAGTCACTGCAGTGCTAGTTGGAAGAGAAAGTGGAGAGAGGCAGGTGGACATGAAGGCATACAGACAGGAGGCGTTGAGAGAAAGAAAAGTTGGTTCAGGCACGGTGGCTCATGCCTGTAATTCCAGCACTTTGGGAGGCTGAGGCAGGTGGATCATGAGGTCAGGAGTTCAAGACCAACTTGACCAATGTGGCAAAACCCCGTCTCTACTAAAAATACAAAAATTAGCCAGGCGTGGTGGCGCGCACCTGAAATCTCAGCTACTCGGGAGACTGAGGCAGGAGAATCACTTGAACCCAGGAGCAGAGGTTGCAGTGAGCAGAGATCACACTATTGCACTCCATCCTGGGTGACAGAGTGAGACTCTGTCTCAAAAAAAAAAAAAAGTTGAGGTTGGCACGGAGTGGGTCTCTAGGCTCAAGGAAAGTCTAGAGGTTTGTTTTGTGTGTTTTCTTTTGTGATGGGAGTCTCAGTCTGTCATCCAGTCTGGAGTCCAGTGGCACGATCTTGGCTCACTGTAACTTCCGCCCTCCCAAGTTCAAGCCTTTGAGAAGCTGGGACCACAGGCATGGGCCACCATGCCTGGCTAATTTTTTGTATTTTTGGTAGAGATGGGGTTTCACCATGTTGCTCTAGGTGGTCTTGAACTCCTAAACTCAGGCCATCCACCCACCTCAGCCTCCCAAAGTGTTGGGACTACAGGTGTGAGCCACCACACCCAGCAAAGTCTGGAGGTTTTTGTGAAGAGTTTCAACTTTGGGGTCAGATTGTTTTATTAGAATCTTGGCTCTGCCACTGACCAGGTGTGCACTTTTGGACAAATTCCATAGCCCTCCTTAGCCTCTTTCCTCATCTGTAAATGGGGATAA